GTGGCGGAAGAGCTCGCCCTCGCGTCTTGGGTGGTGAGGCACACAGCTCTCGCTGCCGGGACGCTTCCTCCCACAGCCCGTCATTTCCGGGAGGACGGCCCATCCCACTCCGAAGCTCTCTGACGGCGCGGAGCCGGAGCAGAGGCCTGTCGGGATCACGCAGCCTATCCCCGCGGGTGCCGGTATTGACCCGGTTCCGCGGGACCAGCCGAGTAGGTAGAGGGAGCAGCGGGAGCCATGGGTGCTCTGAACCAGCGCCTTTCCCTCCTTCTCCCTGTAGCGCAGCGCTCTCCCCTTTGAGGAAGAGCCAGAGGCAACATACGGCTGAGCTGCAACTTTTGTTCTTCCAAGGGTCTGAAACGCTGTGTGACCGATGAGATCGATCCAAAGAGCCCTTCCGTGGATACGGGGGCCCCAAGGTGATCATCACGATCATTCCTGGAGAGAGTCGTGAGTCCCAGCCAGAAGTGGCGTGATCCCACTGTGGCCAGGGACATTACACGGCCAGCTGCGGCGGCCACACCATGAATCAGATTATTCATCTGCCCGATGCTGCGGTCCAAATAATCACTCCGATCCTGAGATGGAGAGGCGGGGGCGTCCTGCTGAGCAGTAATCAGCGACACGCCCAACACACCCAACACATCCAGATTATTCGCTGCTGCCGCCATCTGTGCTCCGAGCCGGAATATTTTATCAAAATATTCCAGCGTCTCTCAGTCACGAGGCAGCAGGGGCAGAGGCTTTTTATCCTCCGCCCATCCTGCTGCCTGTGGGAGCAGATGGGCAGCCAGGCTCTCATCAAGGGGGGGCATGCCGGGACACGCTGTGTCCGTGCGGCCCTGCACCCTGGGGATCCCCACCATACCAGCCACTGGAGCCTTCAGTGGCTGTCGCCATGATGCCTCCACACACTGCCAGATATCTGGCGACGGGGGCGAAACGAAGGCTGGCTGCGCCTCGCGGACCGGGCCATAGAACCCCTCGCGGAGGCGGCTCACCGGTTTCGGCGGCAGTGGTGGGGGTAGCGGTAGCCCTACACGCTCCGCCGCCATGGTCATCACCAGCTTAGACCTGGACGGTGGACTTTCATCGACGCTGGACCCGGAAGTGCCCGACAACAAGAAGTCCTCGTAATCCTCCCCCAAACGGAGCCATCCGCCCCGCTGGAATGGGCAAATACATACATCATGACATATATACATAAAGTTCAAGGTGTGATTGATTGTGATTGTTCATTGGGGTTATTTAGAGTCCATTTAGTGTCCGTATTGCAAAGGGGAAGAAGCTGTTTTTGAAGCGGGCGGTTTTGTTGGACAGTGACCTGTAGCGCCTCCCTGAGGGCAGAAGTTGGAAGACATGGTGAGCTGGGTGGGAGGGGTCAGAAATGATTTTCTTTGCCCTTGTGACAGTTCGTTGGTGGTGAAGTGATTCGAGTGATGGAGGGGACTGGCAGTGATTTTGATGCTATTGACCAATACGTTGATTTATTCCGGAGAGTTGTCTGAACTGCTTGTAACCAGACCTGGACGATTTGTGACAGGAGCTTTGGGGATGATCGGCATGTGTAGAACTGAGTAGGCCTTTCTCACCGTCATTTCTTGAGGCTGCCGGCAGAAAGAATAGCCTTTGGTTGGCTTTTTGAAGATGTGGTTGCTGTTTGGTCTTCCAATTTGAGNTTGGGCTGTCTTTATTTATTCTCTCTCAGATACAACCTGCCACTAACGTTAAACCCCTTTACTATTCAATTAAACACATTCAATGTTTATTTATTGTAAAAACATTTACAATAAATAAACATTGAATGTGTTTAATTGAATAGTAAAGGGGTTTAACGTTAGTGGCAGGTTGTATCTGAGAGAGAATAAATAAAGACAGCCCAATATTTATTTTTTCCACATATTTAGCCACTTCCAGCAATTTCACCGCATAAAATCCCATAAAACCCTGCATGTTTGATCGCATAATCAAGGATTTTGGCCCGCATAATCAAGGATTTTTGCCCGCGTTTTTCTGGAGGGTCTATATTAAGCATTGATGTGTAAGAGAACTGGATACAGCGTTAGAGGCGGGACCTCATTCATTCCTACCAGAGTTGCTCAGTGGCACCCAGAAAGCCAAAATGGCCTGCCTCTCAAGAGCAAAGGTAACCGTATCTTGGCCCAAAGAGCGTATGTGCCCTTGAGTTCAGCTTAAGCCCCGCCTTCGATCCGCAGCGTGACAATCGACTTGGCTCAGTCAAATGAATGGAGAGAAAATAACTCTGGATTCTGCTTTAAGCTAATTTAAAAACGTTTGGACCCCAACAACTTTGAACAGGAAGTTGATTGTATTTGTTTTAATCCACCTTTTTATCCAAAGCGACTTACACGCTTATGATGTTATGCTAAAATGTTGAAGAAATCTGCTTCAGGATATGGTACATGTTACGCAGAGTGAAGCAGGTAGGACCCAAACGCAGATTACACTTGACGATACCTTTATTTCAAGGACTTTAAATAAACTTGGACAAACAAAACACGCTTCGGTGAACTGGGTCACATACAAAAGAAGCACCAACACTGAACACAGGAGGAGACAAGACTAAATACAGGGAGGGGTAATCACAAGACGAGAAACAGCCGGGCAGGGGAGGAGAAACACAAGGGTCACAGGTGAACACAATCAAACAACTAGGCCCCGTCTCAGGTCGGTTAAATTAAATCCTTGCTTCCCTCACTTGCGTCGTTTCCCTGTGTTTAGTCCCTCCCTCCAGGGAAGCATGGAGGGACGCAAGGAAACCACGAGAAGCAGGGAAATGAGTTTTAAGAGCAATGGGACGTCCTTTCCTCCGGAGCCTCACGTGAATCGACGTCCGTTTGTGTTGACGCCGCACAGCTGTTCGTCTGACAGCAGCTCTGTCCCCGTTATTTTCACAAACACCCCTGCCACACATTTACTGACACAAACATTTGTATCATCTGTTGTAGACCCCAATAAATAAAATCAAATAAGAACTCATTCTCAAAAAAGATAAACGCCATTCTTAAAATGTATAAACGAACAATAGTTTGATTAATATTGATTAGAGTGCACAATAGAAATAAAATAATTGAGAGAAGAAAAAGATATATATTATCTATCANACGAGTTATTAAAGCCTAATAACTGGAAGCCTGTTTCCGACTTCATCTGTGATCGTTACAATATTATCTATCAAAACCCAGTTAAATTAACATTCATTGGATTGCACACTTTGTTTGTTTGTGTGGATATGTAGCACATTAACATTTTAATAGCACTTAATGACTGACTGAATGGAAATGACAGTAAATGAAAATATAAAACGAAAAAAGCGATCATGAAAATTTTTCCAATAAATGAATAAAATGATTTTTGACCACTTTGTTGTTCAGATATATCACATATTTGTAACTAAATGATACATGAATTGAAACAAAACACAGTTTAAACTGAGGAGTGACTCTCGTNTAAAAATTAATTGACACAAAAGACGGTGGGAGTGACTCCCGTGAGGTTCATGTATTTTCTTCACTCCGCTGGGAAACTGCTCTCATGTCAAGAAGCATGAGATCAGTGCATGCACTGCATCGTCCAATCAGTGAGCGATAGACAGTAAGGGGGCGGGGCGAGTATCTGAGGATTTCATCGGAGGATGGACTGGTGGTTCCTCCATTATCGCTCCCCCCTCCTCAATCCTCGGTCCTCCGGCAGAAATAAGAGCCATGGGACGGTACTCAAGATGGCGCAGACAAATCAACTTCCGGTGAGATCGAGGACCGAGGAGCGAGGAAATGAAAATAGTCGACCTGAGACAGGGCCCTCGACTCCTCCGTGTGCATTTCAGCTATTGGGACGTCCTTCAAAATGGCGTGTCTTGATCGATTTCCGGGTCAAGTCCCGGAGGAGGGGAAGAGAGGAGTCGAGGAGGGGTATTGGGATGAGGCTAGTGTGTAAAAATATCAGAAAGAACGTCATAGTACAGTATGTCCAAAATATTTTTAAAAACGGCACAGTATACTATATATATGTCGCAAAATATGCAAAACCAACATAGTAGAAATACCAGAAAAAACATAGTATAGTATGTCGAAAATATTAAAAAAAAACTAGCTTGTACAGTATAACAGAAATGTCTGAACCAACAACATAGTATAGGAGTTTCCCAAAAAGGTCAATATTTTGTCATTTGACATTTGTTCGAATAAAACAAGGTTGTGTAGAATGGCAAACAATTCTAAAAAAACATATGTAAGTTTAAACAATTTTTAAGTTTAAAATTGTTAACATTCATAACTTCAACAATCTCTCTAACATTTGAGGCTTTTCCTAAAAAAATTCAAATCTCAGATATAAGATTACAATTACTTGGATAAACTCTCGGTTTTCACTAAATGACTTGATTAACTAAGATAGCACTTACAATATACTTCCATACATCAGCCTTATTTACACCACCTTGTGTTCAAAGGCGAGTGAGGAAGAGGAGCTCCTTCTGGTCGATGAAGTTCAGCATCACAGTCAGTCAGGTTTCAGTTTGTGTGTGATTGCTCTGTCTTTCGCAACGCATGTTTCTATACCTGAGAGGAGAAGACGACAATAAAAGCACCAGAAACATGTTTTAGTCAGTCTAGGCATGTTATTACACACTGCTGTAAAAGTAGATAAATGATCAGATATGTGACATCTTAAGAATAATGTCATGCAAATATACTTAACCTTAAACAAGAATACTTACTCTTAATTAACCTTACTTATACTTAGACCACGCAAAGGAAACTTAACAAAACTGAAACTACCTTGTCTTTTTTTTTAAACCCTCAAATATTGGCCTTAAGTGCAGTATCAGTATTTCAAATGTAGAAAGAGAAGACAAGGAGAAAAACATGTTTTTGTATTGGAAATGTTTTAATAGTTTCAATATTGCAACAGCCATCCGATTTTCTTCTAACAGGTAAAAATCATCAAAAAACTAACAAAAAAAACACTTTTTTTTTCAATTTTATATTCCAAACACCTTTTCTTGGCTATGGCCCTAGACTCAACAAATAAAACCCTTACACAGTGAGCAGATATTATATTCAACACATTGTTTCTCAAACAAATTATAAAAATAGATTTAGCATTTTCAAGTACTTATTTACAGTATTAAACATATATCATAATGGTCAGAGTAACAGAGAGAGGGACAGAGGGGAAGTTTCATTCATTGTGTTGAAGAGGTCCAGTTTGTTTGAAAGCAACTGTGTGTGTGTGTGTGTGTGTGTGTGTGTGTGTGTGTGTGTGTGTGTGTGTGTGTGTGTGTGTGTGTGTGTGTGTGTGTGTGTGTGTGTGTGTGTGTGTGTGTGTGTGTGTGTGTGTGTCAGTCAAAGGGACCATTGGTGTTATGTGTGCGATTCCATCTATAAAGGACACATGAGTTTATTTCATTTGACAAAACGGATACAGAGAAAGTAGCGTACAAGGAGGAAAAACTCATTTTGTTCCAAATACAAACCAGTTACAATATTTCAGTCAGAAATGAATGTACCTTTTTATTGTGAAAACCTATGATAATGCCCCAATAAACGTCCTCGCTCAAGTCTCCTGTATAGAAACAAAAAAGGTGAGATCGCTGTACAGGGAGAATTCTGGGAGTTATCTGGGGAAAAAGTGCAACCACATAGATGGCAGAGCCAGATATTAAGCAATGTGAAATTAAACATGATAATCCAACATTTACATAGAGAAAAAAAGTCCATATGACATTCCTTAATACTGTATTCATACTGCAACACACACACACACTGTCATGTATACAGCAAATCCAAAGACAATGGACCTCAACTTCAACCGTACCAGCTCCAGTGTTCAAGAATACACAGATACTGTGTGCCGACAGTAAAAATCCTCCAGTGTACAAAACTACTCATTTATTCAGTTATAAACTCAGCAGTAAAATAAAGAAAACAAGAACACAACTGCTTTATTTTTTTAAATACTATAAGTTAAATAACCCTTCTCAAACTCTTCTTTACAGAGGTTTGTGGTACAGTCTGTAAACTCAAATAAATATGGATAAATATCTTAATCTGGCCATCTTCCAGAGTTAGCCCGTGCTCTATGCAGAGTAGTGAGGAGGATCATGGAGTAGACATCCAGCAGGGGAAAGGGAGAATTAGTTTTAAATGCACAAAGTAAACAACTGGAAAGAAGAGAAATATAAAGAAACTATGACAGCGTAATAGACAGCGACGCACAACAAATGAATGAACAATCAAACACACATTTTCAACCTTTACAATTGTATCCTGCAGCTTTTGTTCGACCATCAGTAGCCCCAAGGGAAACAAAAAAACAGGTTGACGTTCCTGAACGTACAGCATGTCCTCGGACCTGTGTTCGTTCCGTCTGCACACATTATATACTGAATATAAGACTAATTTACTGTAGGCAAGGCTTTCATTTAGGCCTCATCCAACCTCACTCTCACTGGATCCTTGACATGGGACAGCACAGTCTTCTTAAGCTACTGCAGCCATGTTGGATCATCAGAAATGTTCCTCTAACATCTGATGAAATACGCTCTGACGTACAACGATATGATTCTGTATCAGAGCAACTGATCCCAGGCAAAGGAAATAGTCCCTGGGTGTGGCCACATACTGTTTTTAGTCAATCAATGTTGTGTTAAAGGGAAATTCTACCCTTATATTTTTCCTTTAAGCACTAGTCCAACAGCTTGGAGGTCAGCTTCAGACAGAGAGCGTCCTGCTCAGACAATATTTCATCTGCCTTTACGCACTGATCCAGAACCAGTGTGATGGAGCTGACATTGTTATTGAAGTGCAGATAGAGGTCACAGAAAAAAAAGTCAGTGACATCAATCCTCTGCTATCCCCCCCAACGGCGACAGGAACTCGTCTCTGAGAGGTTACAAATAAATAAGGAAGAAAGGAATCAAGGAAGGCATGAGGATGTGTGGGAAGGAGGAGTAGATTGAGTGCAGCTAGCTGAAAGATCTGCTCATCTTTCCTTCTGTCTGGAAGAGCGATCTCTCTTTCTCTTTCTCTCCTCTTCTCCACCCCATCATCCGTCTGCACACACAAGGGTCTGCAGCTGCAGGTTGAGAGCAGGCGCCCCCCCGTTAGTTAGACCTGCACCCCGCGCCCATGCATCTGGATGACCTGCGCTCTGAGGGTCTGGATGGCGGCCAGTATCAGCTTCTGGTGCTCAAGGGAAGTGATGCCAAGACTCAGCACATCTCTGAGGACACACATCGAGACGTACCGACATTAGTAAAAGTAAATATCTTTATTCGACTGGATGACATCAGGAAAATATGGAAAATATGTATCTGATATGAATGTATCCCCCGAAAAATCGGTTTCATCTTATATATTTCTCGATAACATTAAATCCCAACTACTTTTCTTTAGTGAAATAACACAAACCTATATACATTTAGGATATATGTTTTGTGAGTGTGAGACCTTAATGCAAGAAGCTAAAAACCTTTTTTTCTTGTGTATTTAAGAGTAACTTAATACCAGCATAGTAACAATGTTTGCTTTTAGAAATGATCATTTCTTAAAGCCCAAGGTGAACTCGTAAAATGTGTATTACATAAGACAAAAAAGCAGCAAATCTGCACAATTAAAAAGAAAGAACATTTAATTTATTCATGCAGTTATCTTTCTACAGATCTGTTCTCATATTATCTCTCTGAGACCCCCCTCTCTTAAACAGGAAATGAAAGAGTCAGTGAGACAGTAGTCACTCACTGGACGGTCATCCGGGCCACAGACTCCAGGTAGCAGTACCCTGCGGCGGTGAAGTTGTCCTTGTATCGGCCCATGTCCACTGCGTCCAGCCACTCCCCCACAGAGTTGAATGCTGGGAAGGAGTGCAGCGGCCTCTCCGCCAGCGTGATGGAGGAACTCAGGGTCCTGGAGGAGAAGACATGTATTGTTGATTGGGAAGATAAGAAAACCGACTGTACTTTTACTTCAAATATTTTTAAAGAGAAAATATAGTGACTTTTTTTTACCACACCTTACTGATATTCTAAACAGATTTCTATCTATACTTTAGTTTTTTGTTCCTTGATTTATTATGATACCTTTTATTGACTTTTTGTGGCATACTAAGCTGATATTTTTTTATGGAAATCTATAGTATAGCATTTAAATGATATTTGGGGCATACTATATTTGAGCATTTATTAATAAAACATTCCTGGCATACTAATATGACTTTAGAAACTATAATCTTTTGAGATTTTTAAGATAAACTATGGCATTCTATATCATACATTTTAGTGACTTCTTCTCCAACCAGATTGTAGCCCAATCATCAAAAGCATTTCAAAGTACAAAGGATTATAGGTCCTGCGTGTATTCTCTTTACTAGGTTTATTTGAGCCAACATCAATTGATCATTGACATTGGGTAAGAAAAATAAGATCCCACAATTAATCAGCTACTCTTTTGGCAGTAAGCACAGACAGATGTGAATGCACCAGTACCTGCGTGACAACGTGGAGGAGCCGATGCCATCGGGGGAGCGAATGCTCTTGCTGAGGGCTGAGTGGATCTGGCTGAAGCTGGGCCTCTCCGTCCTCTCCTTCTGCCAGCAGTCCAGCATCAGCTGGTGGAGGTGGGGGGGGCAGTTTACTGGAGCGGGCAGCCTGAAACCATCCTCGATCGCCTTGATCACCTACAGCACATGCATATATATATATGAGTTATGAACATTTGGGAGTAGATTTGCATGTGGGTGATTGGTTAGTAAGAAAGGAGGATGTTTTGTCCTACTTAAAAAAGACAGTAAGGTATTTAAACCTTTTTATATTCCTTAACTGTGACTTTGTTGCCAAGAATGGAAGTCTTTTGAAAGAGGTCCTACTCTAAGTAGAAAAGTGCTGGTGTTTTCATTTTCTTGTCACTAATTACCCCACCTACAACGCATATTTTTGCTTTTTTGGTAATTGCGCTAATAGAGGCAGCATCCTTTAAGGTCACTTTGCAAATCGGCAGCATATGCAAAATAAACAGATTTCAGCATAGAGATATTGCTGACCTCAACAATATGAGCTGAAAACAAATCTGCTGTTATGTCCTGACTTAAACAACAACAAAAACTAGAACCACATAGGGAATACAAAGCTATAAAGAGAATAAAGGTGTGAGCCAAAACTGAACAATGCTAAGTTGAACATGGCTGACTGACTGTGTGTGGAATTAAATGTCAGGATATTCGATGTCTTAGTGTCACTTGACAGGATATTTGATGGGGTATATTACAATAGAATACATCCTATCGAGATGATTTTCATTTCCTTTAATATAATATGTTGCAGGGCTATGAATACAATTAAATAAGGAAACATTACAGATGAAACAAATAGACCACCTGAGCCCCTCTAAAAGATAAGCTACGACATCCAATGAGTCCTTTTTTCATCAAGCCTTGTGAAACCTCACTTTGTTCAAATAGCAGAGCATGAAAGTATCTCTCCAGACTCCCTCAATGTTCATCGCTCCTCCATCAAACTAATGTTGTCCCCATTCCAAATCCATTCACGAGAGACTTCCTCTAAGAATAGGACATGAGACACGTCCTTCTCCTGTATCACTCAAAGAAACACAATCTCCTGAAAGCAGGAAATAGTAGCATAATCACAAAAATGACATCCATCAGCGGCATTAGTTCCTAAAACACTCTTTCTTCTCTCTCCGCCCCCCCACTCTCCTCTCAGCCCTTTAAGCTCCTATCTCACTAAAGAGCATTCAGAAAATGCTTTTCAGAATTTGACATTTTCCATTTAATCAAAGCGGGGAGGTAAAGGGCACGATGGATCACAGGTGGACAGCCCGAGCAACAATTCCGTCATGATATAATGTATCAATTTAAAGTGGACTAATGTGCCTGCCGCTCTACAAGCTTGACCTTTGCCCTCTCAATTGGCAAGTTTGATAATATGAACCAGGCTAAGAGCAAACGTCCTCCTGCTTTGTGAAAGGGCAGCATGGGAATCTATTCTCGTGCCTGCTTAATAACTCATGCATATTCATTTTGGACAGTCGAAAATGGAACAAGTTAATAATCTGTTGCTTTTTAAGTATGATATAATAGCCTTTTATGCAGACCAGCATCACTCATTCACCTCCCCTTTAGAAGCATGGCTTCCTTCAAAAAGTGAAATAAAAACAACCTATTTTTTTTTAAAGTACAAAATAGAAGGAGTACCAATAGAAAAACAGAACTCCCTCCCACATTGACTTGTAAATGATAGGTTTGTGGTGACAAGCAGTGGTGTCCTGTTGCCTGGACAATCTCTTCAACCCTCAAATAGAAATCACTCTACACTTCCTGAAAGAGGAATTTTTCCAAAGGGATTTTGAAGACTTTTAAGAGCGGGATGGCACTCTAGGACAGGCGGAGGGCCACTAGAAGGGGGTCAATGCGTCCTTAAGAGAAAACAGGATTGGTCATGGAGCTGATGCAGACTTAAAGAGGGGGACTTAGTCATGGCCAAAGCTTTCAGAGGTACTGTGGCTTTCTTTTAATAAGATCCAAGCTGGGCACGGATACAGAGTTCATTGATAGAGGGAGGTGAAAGAGAGAGGGAGAGTGGTGAAGTGCAGATAATAAAAAAAATGGAATATAAAGGACATGACTGGGGAGCTTAATAAAAAGCACCCTCCTATCTCTAACCTTTCCTCCACCACACACACACTTACGTCCTGGTTGCCCATATCCCAGTAGGGTCTCTCTCCATAGGACATGACCTCCCACATGACGATGCCGAAGCTCCACACGTCCGAGGCGGAGGAGAAGCGGTGGTACTGGATGGCCTCCGGAGCGGTCCACAGCACCACGCTCTTACCTCCGTGCTGCGGGGGGGGGAGGGGGAGAAGAGAGAAGCACGGAGGTGAGACGTGGAGGAAAAGGGTGTGGAGAGTTTGTAGAAGTAAAGCTTTAATATTCTCTTTGAACAGCTTTGAACATATTTTCAGTAGATCAAAAGAATTGTTAGAGGTTCACCTTGAGTGGAACCCAAAAATATCCAGGGAAATAAAAGCCCTGGAATATATATTTTTTTCATCTGAAAACTTAATTATATGAACTCAACTCAACCTGACATGACGTGTTAACTAATTTAAAAGAACACCGGTACATTTGTGAACTTTTTACCTTCTTAGTCATTAATAGGGAAAGTAGAATGTCAAATATAACTTACTGGCTGCACGTGTTTTTTTTCCTTACCAGTGAGGTGTAGATGGCCTCTATCTTGTCGTCCTGCAGAGGTCTGAAGCCAGACACCTTGCAGCCCAGGCTGGAGTTAACCAGCACCTGCGAGTGGGAAAACAAACTCATTAGCATTGGTTACATTTAGAGAGGAAACAAACCCAGTGTGAGCTCACAACACCCTGGTGGGCAAAGCTTTTATCGAACCAGGTTTACAAATTGATTGTTTACAAAAACAAAAGTGCCCTGTTTTTCCCGCAACGTGCCCACTACATTTGCAGTTTGATAGACGGGCTGAAATCTCAATATGACAAACAAGATTTCTACAGTATTGGTAGTTTCAGGTTCACGAATCAGGTGAGTGATGTTTGCAGCTTCCTTCGTTCAAAAGCCTTGCAAAAGTCACCCTGCTGTTCTCCTCCCTCCTGCTTTACCTTGTGTGCGGCCAGCCGTTTGTGGATGAAGCCCATTTCGGTGAGGTACTTCATCCCCGATGCCACGCCGGTCAGCATATCCATCAGCTGCATTACACTCATCTGGCCCTCATGTTTCTGGGGTTACGCGGAGATGGAAATAGGGGGAAAATAACAGGTAGGAGGTGAAACGAAAGTGAAATGAAAGAAAAGAGAAGGAGAGCATAAGTTGATTGTATCTGGTATTAATGTAGTGATCCAAACAAGGGGTTACATCTGCTACTATAGTACAATGTTGTGCTCACTGAGCTGAATCCCTTTATTTGGAGAATAAAAAACAAACAAGCCATTCATTCGTATCATTATAAACCCTGCCACAGTGGTTCACAGAGCAGAGAGGTTCACAGAGGCTTACAGCATATTTAAGCAGAAACATCCATTTGTGCTGTTAATTATGGTGCGTTTCCTTTATTACTGTAATAAGCACGAGTGCTGCTGCCCTAGGACTGCGCTGTAATAATAGAGGATTTAGGATCATTAGAACAAAATGCCATGTTTGTGATGATGAGGCTATACTTTGCTAATACACATGGAGCGTTTAGGATATTCTGGACATATTGTACAAAAAACTCACCCTGAGGAAGGAATCTAAGGATCCGTTGGTCATACTCTCCACAATGATCATCATGGTGTTACCTGGAGAAAGACAAAGAGAGCATAGAATTTAAAGATCTATCATGCTATTTCTAGGCATATATTATGGGTCTCAGATACAAATATATTAAAAGAACTGCTCAAAATACCAAACAGATCATGTATTTTAGACGACCCTCATATCCATCTATTAAAATTAAAAAGAGGAGGGGGAGCTTGTGCCTGCTCAGAATTCTACCGAGATACTCAGCGAAATGCTGCCGTGATGAAACACCATATCATGTTCCAAACTGCATCAAGGATTATTTCTGAAACAGTATGGAGCTCAAATGCTTTTTCTCTTGCGGGTTTACCACAAGGTGAGTTCCTTTTGTTATTTTCTGCTTCTGCTTCTTTACACATGCTCTCTCCAGTACAGGTTAGCTCTGAGTGTTAGCGATGCTTGCTAATGTAAACAAAGACCATATTACGTCCAAAACAGTCGGGCATTGTTTCTGATAGCAACGTTTCTGATAGGGCTGTGGGTCCGCATTGCCGATATTACGTCATATCGGCAGTAAATCTGGATCAGCTCCGTTGTACCCCCGTTTTTAGAGATTTGGGTACTGAGGAAAGAGAGAGGGTTTTGTTTTCTGAAACTTTGTGAGTTCCCTGACACACCGGGGACATGTTTATGTTTAAAAGACATCAAAAAGTGCAATTTGCATGATAGGAGACCTTCAAATTAGTTAAATTGAGGTAAAAATGGAGAGAATCAAGGGAGGAAGAGAAAGTGAGAGACGTAATAGAGACGGGGAGGGTGTGGGGGAATGGAGTGAGTCTGGTCCACTTGGCAGCACGGCAGGCATTGTGCAAAGCCATTCCTCACCCAGTGGACTGTGGTGAAGCCAGGAGAACCTGTGTGCTTCCCTGGCTGTCTCAGCAAGTTTAACGACCCTCAAACACTCACTCACACACAGTGCACATGCTCACAGGCACCCACACACACTTACTGCCCAGGCACAGATGGCAGAGATCCAGCAGTGCTATGAAGTGCACAGAGGAGGAAAATGAGACTGCAGCAGTTGGCGTAGAGAGAGGGAACCATGAGAGAGGAGGAGTGGATTATGGGAGCTCGCGAGAGAGAGGAAAATGAACCTTCATAGATATGTAAACAACTAAAAATTACAAAGACCTAGCTGTGTACAAATGCTTTCAATACCCGTTTGCAGGCGCATAACACAAATGGTAGTTTGGTATTGTGATATCCACAATTCAGGGTTTGCCAGTATTACTGGGCTTTCAGGAGGCTATTTGGAAAGGTTACCAGCGACACGGGGGAACAGTGAGTCAGCACAGACACTGCCATGATACACAGGTCATCGTGTAATTAATGCAACAGAGGAGGGGTTTCACTGTGTGATTGGTTACAAAGTGCTGGAATTACAGATACATTTAACTACAAACAAATCTTGCTCAAAGGTGGTATTATATGTGTTATTTGAACACCTGCTGAAACATTGTATTTGAGAGAGTATACCAGAAATTCAAAAAGGAGAAAAACTAATTGTGTGACAGAGTGGAAGGGAGATATATTTCATCATATACTGTATATACAAAGTCATTCACAATTGTCATCGACTGTTATTCATTTTAATGTACTTTACTTGAGTATTTCTGTTATCAGCTTCTATATTCGTATATTCTATGACATTTCAGATATTGTACACTACATTTATCTGCCAGCTGGACTTCTCTGGTTCCATTATGTAGCAAGATTAAGCACATACAAACCATGGTAATTTATTAATTTGTCTTTCTTAATAATTGTATTTCTTTATTTTATCATTTCCAATGGTTATCACTGGATGTATGTTATTAAGGATCTCAGTTCTTATTCCACCACTCCATTCAAACCCTGAAACTGCCTGTAGGAAGGTTGATGGTTAGTCTTGAAGGAAGGAGCATATAGAGGTGAAAAGGAAATAAGGAAGCTCTTCCATGTAAACGGACACACCCATGTTGTTTTAATGTTGCCTTGAATTATGGTAAGAGGACAGGATGATTAATGAGGTGGGCCAGGTTTGGTAGAGGGGCTGGAATAGAGTTAGATTGTGATGTAAAGCAGGTGATTTGTACACACTGTGTGTGTGTGTGTGTGTGTGTGTGTGTGTGTGTGTATGTGTGTGCGTGTGCGTGTGTACAGGTCATTAGGTTTCATGATGGCGTGCTTGATGTATGAGTTA